ACTATTACAACAATTTCTATACACATGTCCAACGAAATTATTTGACAGCCAGTCTAAAACATTTTAATCTTGTTCTATCATAATTTGAAACAAAATTGCAAAAGGTCACTTCCTTTCCCATCCCCTTCCCTCTCCCCTCCCTCCATACTCGCTATCTCCTATTTTCGCTACTACTCGCTACTTCAAAAAATTAATTAGTTGTTATAGATGGATCACCTACCAATACTCCTGCTGTTGTTCCGTCTTCTACTCGCAAATGAATCTGGAGAATTTGAAGAGAGAAAAATCTTTCATGGTAAGTTGGTTTGCAATATTCTGCTTGATGAGTAAGTCCATCCTAAGTGGATGAGTAAGAGGACTTCGAATGGACGTAACTAGAGCTTTTGAACAAAAATGTATTACAATTTAGTTGTGCTCCCTTCATTCACGCTTGACATCTTAAATTTCTTGAGAGATAAACCAAAGCTATCGCTTGGTTGCATTGATTATGAGAAGACTAAGAAACGCGTTACAGATCGTCTTTGCCAAAAGAGACCATCTCTCTCCAGCTGCTCCACACCGTACACAATGGCATCTTTCAAACAAGAGACGATTGGTCATAGCAATGACAATGGTCTGAAAAAATTGGCTCGAGCTATGGGAGTCAAGGTCGATCACTAGTTTTTTCTATATGACAATGTTAAAGTGTGTAAAAGATTACAGAGAGCTGTAAGGGACAGTTCCTGGTGGAGTTCTGATGAGGATGAAGACTACGAGTACTATTTATGGAAAAAATATCGCCGTGAGAAGATAAGGCGACGACTCATGCAGAGATCAAGGTATGTTGAGATAGAATTTAAATAGACATCTGCTCCGGGTCAATGATTACTCTTTGAGGGATTCATCCGAAACGATTCAGTATCATTATCACAACTATGGTAGCCCATATTCTAGTAGTTATGGAGCGTCTCCATACGCGGGATACTACAGGCCATCCTACTACAGCCCATATAGGTAAGCAATAACTGTGTGGTTTCGAACGTCTTCGGTGTCAGAAAATTTTTTTTTTACTTCTGTCACATCGCGACAATTATTAAGTCTAATTCAAGAATGCGAGAAAATAGTAGATCTAAGTAAGCATTCTGACTAAGAAGATCTCAGTGGTAATTTCAAATACACCAATAGCTTTATCATCAGTTTTATAACAGTTTTGAAATTGAGTTCGTAGGATTCACCCAATTTCGTTGGTTCAATTGCTAGCAAAGGTCCTTTTTTTTGTGAAAGGTGGACTTTTGCATTCGCAATTAATCTAAAAAACTATTCATTATGTTCGTCATGATGTTTATCATCCAACCTCGGCGTGTGACGTTCTCAGTGATTCCGAAATTTGTTCTACTAAATGAACTTGGAGACCAAAAATACTTATACAGTACTGTCATCCTATTTCATCATCTATTTTCCATAACATGAGAAATTCCCGCTAAATGACCAGTAATCTCTTTTGACTTCTTTCCACCTACATCATTCTATGAAATCACCAAGTGGGATTTGTTCTTTTCATGATTTGCCCCTTTCGCTTAAGAAAAGCTTGTTATGATTGCTTACATGTCATATTCTGGTTCTGTGTTGCAAGAGAACATATAGTTTTGTTCGTCAATCAATTTTGATAGTTTTGTAACCACATAAAGCAAGTTTAGTACGTACTGGCATAATTATCTTCTTGCTTTTACAGCTCAACAAATTGCAAGAAAGGCTGTTCCAATTTATCAAAAAGAAAAATATTCTCCTTCAAACACAAAATCACTTTGTAATCAAATAATAGATTGATTTTTCGAGTAAAGCTTGTTTTGCCTTTATCCTTTTACGGAAGTGTTGCTGACTTTGTCCATAACAGCTAAGAAAAGTTTTCCAATGATTTCGGAAAAAATCTGGTTCTAG